AGCAGTTATTATTCTCCAATAGACATATATTATATTAAAATCCCCAATATACCGGGTGTCCCTCAAAAGTGGCTCACCCCCATATTTTTTTTTTATTATTAGTGATATAAGAAAACCATTTGGAATGCATAATTAATTAGGCCGTTAAAACGGATTATTACGACAGGAAATCATTTTCTTTGTGCTTCCGGTTATACCGGAAGTGAGTACTAATTTCGCTATTTTTTTAAATCTATAATTTTTTTTCTTCAGTTGGGCAGACAGCATAATTTCACATAACTTTTACATGGAAAAATTTTCACGATCGCTTATAATTTATGAAAAAAAAATTATTTTCATTATTTTTTAACGTTTTGAAGTACCTTCGGAAAATGTATTACAACATTTGACGCATAGTACCTAGGTTAATAGTATAAACTACGTTATGTTCCTCTTGATTTACCATTTCTCGAGCAGTGATCACTGCTATGCTTTAGTCGGTGGTTCTTTTTTAATAATGGTGTAAATTAACAGTTGTATTAAATTAGTTTTAAAAGAAAAATTCGAAACAACAAGTAAATTTAATTCAATCATAAGTACAAAAAAACTAATTTTCTAAATTTTCCCTCAATTTTGACATAATTGTATCTTCCGTATTGTCGATCTAACAACTCGACGTAATTCCTGCGGAGATATTTGGGTAATACAGTTTCTAAAACGATTAAAAAAAATCTAAAGGTGTGAGGTCAGGTGATCTGGAGGGTAAAAAGATAGGAATAAGGAGAAATGTGAGAAAGAACCGGTTTGTTCTCACCGTGGTGGCTACTTTATTGGTCCATTATTACCAATCCAATCGTTATTATACTTTCTGCTTAAAAAATCAATAACCACTCTGCTGTTGTGAGGTGGGGCGCCGTCTTGTTGGAAAATTGGTCCATTATAAGTTCCAACTGGTAGGTCCGCCAGCAAATCCTCAATTTCATTATTAACAAAGTTGAGGTATCTTTGCCCTGTAAGATGACCATCAAAAAATATTGGACCCACCACTGTTTCTCCAATGATTCCCATCCAACAATCTTTCTTGGAAATTCCCTTCCTCCATCAAATATAAATTTTCTTGTGCCCAATACCTCTTTTATTATTTCGATTAAACATACCCAAGTTAGTAAATCGACTCTCATCTGTATACAGAATTTTGAAGGGAAATGCGTTATCGTTTTCGTATCTTTCTAAATACCAATTACAATACTGGAGTCGTCTTTCATAATCATTCTCGTACAAATGTTGATGTAATTGGTATTTGTAAGAACGAAGTTTATGCTTTTTTAAAATCCACCACACCGATGTTTTTGAAATTTCGCACTGTATCGCAATCACTCTAACTAAAGCACTGTTGTTATTTTCGATACATGCCAAAACATTTCGTTCCGTATCGAAACTTACGAATTTTTGAAAAGTAATGCCTTGTTGGGTGGCGACGACCAGGAAATCTCTGCGCGTAAAGTCTAGCAGCAGCAACTGCGTAAAGTAAACAATCCAAACCATAATGTACACTTTACATTGTACATTGTAATTTAATATCAGCTACAGAACATTTAGTGTAAAAGAATAAAAAATAAAAGATCAAAAATAATTGAATTAAATTTAGTTGTTTGTTCGAGTTTTTCCTCTAAAACTAATTTAATACAACTGTTAATTTACACCATTATTAAAAAGAACCGCTGACTAAAGCGTAGCAGTGATCACTGCTCGAGAAATAGCAAATCAAGCGGAACATAACGTAATTTATACTATTAACCTAGCTACTATGCGTCAAATAAATGCGAAAAACAACAAAAATAACTGTTTTTTCAAAAATTATAAGCGATCGTGAAAATTTTTTTTTTGTCTACCCAACCAAAGAGAAAAAAATTTTTGTTTTAAAAAATAGCGAAATTTGTACTCACATCCGGTATAACCGGAAGTACAAAGAGAATGATTTCATGTCGTAATAATACGTTTTAACGGTCTAATTATGCACTCCAAATGGTTTTCTTATATCACTAATAATAAAAAAAAATATGGGGGTGAGCCATTTCTGAGGGACACCGGTATACTCAATTATTTACATGTAGTGTACAGGGTGTCCCAATTTCGATGTCCGCATAGGCTATCTCCGAAACTAAAAGAGATAGAAAAAAAGTAGCTTACATGTCATGATCTCGTTTTTCGAGAAAATGCTAATTCCGAAAACTCCGAACAGCTAAAACGACAATCGCGAATATCTCACTTATTATCAAAGATGGAGTATTATAAATAAAACATTATATGGGCAACTTTTTACGAAGAATTCAGTGGCGTAGGTAGAATTTTTTTCCCATCTTTTATTTTCGAGATTTTAGACGTAACTTTATTTTTTTAAATGGAAACCATAGTTGGCTATGACTTAAAATAATTTGTTATTTTCTTCTGATAACAAATATATATAGTTTGTGGGGTATATTTCTTATAGTTATTGAATAATTAACAAAAATTCATTTTGTTCTATCTAAAACTAATGTATGTATTTAAAAGTTAATGTTGCTATGGTGATAACCATACATACTATGATGGAACATAATGTATCAAATAATTGCCAAAGTTTGTATTTAAAAATTCGATAACAACTCTGGCATTATGTGCTGGTACGATGCACCAGCATGTTAAGTGTCAAAGTATAACAAAACTGAATAAAACTTTACAATGAATTTCGAAAATTATGAAAAATGTAACATGATGGAATGCTATATGTTATCAGATAAGAATGCGACGTTAGCCGCGGAATTTTATTTCACAAGATATCCAGAAAGAAGACAACCGCACGTAAGAACCTTCAGCCGGTTAGCAGAAAATTTAATAGATATTTGGTCCTTCCCCAAACCACATACAAAAACATACCAAAATGACCTGCAAGAGAAATTGCAACAAGACGTCTGACCCAAAAGCCGCTGCTCCCGAATATGAAAGAAAAATAAGTATAAACCATACAAAGCGGGGCTAACTCATTATTTACGTGCCGGAGATGTCAATCGAAGATTAGAATTTTGTAGATGATATTTAAAAAAATTAAATAATCTGCTGTTTGTTCAAAATGTTATCTGGACCGATGAAGTCTCTGAGTGTTCAAAGAAGATTGGGGTTCAATGTATGGTGTGCCCTTTTAGATAATAGAATTTTGGCATATAGTATCTACCATAAAAACTTAAACTCAGGGAAATACCTCAATATATTAAGGCAGCACATTGAGCCTTTGGTCGACAATTTGCCACTAAATATGTCTCAAATGATATATTTTCAATATGACGGAGCACCAGCACATAATGCCAGAGTTGTTAGTGAATTTTTAAATACTACTACAAACTCAAGGACAGTAGAATCTAACAGGACTGCTACATCCATTGTTGTGACAGCCTACCCGCAAACTACGTCACACCATTTTCCACGCCCAGCTGTTGTTATGGTCTATGCGTTTGCTGTGTGTTTTTAGAGGTTATATCCTAGACGTATTCATATTAGTTTTGAAGTTTTATGTTTTTAGACGTATTAATGTCTATCATATAACCTCTAAAAACATAGACAGTTACCAGGCGTGGCAAATAGTGTGACGTAGAGTGCGGGCAACCAACCCGTAGTCGACTACAAAAATACAATGGATGTAGCAGTCCTGTTAGATTCTACTGTCCTTGCTACAAACTTTGGCAATAATTGGAAACAATGCTTTCCCTCATGGTATGGTTATCACCATAACAACATTAAGTTTTAAATACATACAATAGTTTTAGAAAGAACAAAAAAAATTGATACATTATATTCCATCATAGTATGTATGGTTATCACCATAGCAACATTAACTTTTAAATACATACATTAGATTTAGATGGAACAAAATGAATTTTTGTTAATTATTCAATAACTATAAGAAATATACCCCACAAACTATATATATTTGTTATCAGAAGAAAATAACAAATTATTTTAAGTCATAGCCAACTATGGTTTCCATTTAAAAAAATAAAGTTACGTCTAAAATCTCGAAAATAAAAGATGGGAAAAAAATTCTACCTACGCCACTGAATTCTTCGTAAAAAGTTGCCCATATAATGTTTTATTTATAATACTCCATCTTTGATAATAAGTAAGATATTCGCGATTGTCGTTTTTGTAAAATTTTCAGTTTTTGCCGATAGGGCGAGTTTTCGGCATTAGCATTTTCTCGAAAAACGAGATCATGACATGTAAGCTACTTTTTTTCTATCTCTTTTAGTTTCGGAGATAGCCTATGCGGACATCGAAATTTGGACATCCTGTACTTTCCAACGTTCTCATAAATGAGTTGTGCACACCAAAAACATGAATATTAAATGGCATAATTTCAATACCCAGAATATTATTTCTCTCCAAGTATCTTCGCTGCACAACCTTACAATCATAATTTGTTTTAGTAAATATCGACACGCCACCACCTCTATCCCTTTTGCAGACATGCATCTCATTATATCCTACAAAATTTATAGTGACCGATTCATCCTCATAAAGCCAAGTTTCCACGAGCACCAGAATCGCCACAATAACATCAACTTCTTCATCAAGCTTGTGTCGCAGACTTCTTATGTTAATGTAAAATAGTTTAATATTTATTGTAGCAGCTTGTTGAGTTTTCTCTAGTTTTTTGGCAAGTCATCAGTACAGTTTATGAAAATAAAAATAACTTTTATCAAAGTCAACCTATTTTTTTTTACGTACAATTAAACGGTGTAATAAAAACTATAGCATTCTATTTAAAATAATGAAGTTATGGTCTACTTCCGGTAGACCGGAAGTGGCGGCCTCTAACGAACCAGTTACGTGAGACACCCTATATATTGAATCAGCAAATACGTTTCAAACAAACCCCAATATATCTCTATATACCTGCATACAACACCAATCTTGTTTTTACTTATAAAAATTATATAGTAAAGTTGTTAATAAGATTTGTAATAATTTTTAAAAAATATTTTTAGGTTACCGGGAATAAGACAACCACACCTCGGTTATACCAACCAATTTCAAGAACAAACATTTCCGCCAATGGCTGGGTTGAAACCAACACCGCCACCCGCTCCGTCACCGTCTCAAGTGGGCGGCGGTGGAGGCGGCGGTGGGGGAGTAATGGGTCCACCACAAGGGGCCATCTCACTACAACAACAGCTGATACAGAGTGTGCGTAGTCCGCCGCCGATAACCAGCCCGCAGCCAAACCCGTCCCCGCGCCCCGCACCAAGTCCGCGATTGCAGCCGGCTCCGAGTCCGAGAGGGCCGCAACCGTCACCTCACGACCTCACCGAAATGTTACTGGGACAGAACAACGGCGGTTCGGGTGTCGGTTTGCATCCGCACCCGTCGCCGGCCTCCTCTCAGCCGCAGGATGCTGCCGATATGACACCTCAAGACCAACTTACCAAGTTTGTTGAACAGCTTTAGTGGTGAATTTGATTTTTAAAGAGATAATTAATTATAGTAAAACAAAGTTGACGAGAGGAAAAAACTAATGTTTTTAAATAATGCAATTTGAAAGTAATTAAAGAGAGAATAAGGAAGAGAGAAGAAGGTAACGATAATAAAATGGGAAAATGAGGTTGGTGTACAAAAAAAAAGTCTTGGGTTGGGTTGGGTATTGATTTATATTTATGAGATTGTATTTAATGAAGTATAACTTTTATATTGTTATTAGTTTTTTATAGGTTATCTGAGAATTTGTTATATTAACTAATTAAGAAATTTCAATAATTTTATATTTTTGACAGTGATTTCAATGTTATTTATTTCAAATTTAGCGATTATGTTTGTAGTTATTATTATATACGGAAGTGATAATTTCTGTAAAGATAGTAATTTACATAAAGGTGTTTTATGTAGGTCTTAAAAACTTATAGAGTGTTTGAACAATACTTTATATAGGTATATTCACTTTTTACGAAATGATCAATTTTATTTAAAACGAGATGTTTTAATTTATTTTTCCCCCAATTCTACAACATGTTCATATTTTTTTTATTTTATTTTTAACTCGATTTACTCACCTCTTTTGAGATTTAAGTTAAATTTAAAGCGAAATCAAATTGAAACTCAACCTAACCTCGTTTATAAGGCTTATTTTTTGTGTACACCATTTTGTATAAATTTTGCACACCTTGGGACAAACATTTTTTGGTGCTGTGCTAAAATGTACAAAAAAAAACAGTGAAAATGTACAAGAAATAAAAATAAAAGTTACAAAGAGAGAAATAAATGTGAAAATTGAAAAGAATAACGTATACTTATGGTGGGACTTCACCCCGGAGGCAATATCCCCGGCCTCTTTGTTGCCCCCCTCGCCCCCACGTGTAGTTATTGTATAAAGATTTAGATTTTAATACTGATGGACGACGTAAATTTACGTTTTAAACAAATGAAAATTAAAAAACATAAAACTTGTACATATGTTTCATACAATACAATGTATTATATACAATGTTAGTGAAAACAAAAAAAGAAGAATGTTTACCTACCTACCTTACTACCTACTACGATTAGGATGTGAATGATATACCTAAAAAAGTATTTTGGCTTTGCGAGGCTGTGTTATATATTATTATTCTTAACGGATTGTTACCTAATATAATGATGATGATGATGCAGACGAAGACGAATGATGTTTTGCACCGCAAAAAAAACAATTTGTTTATTTATGTGTTTTCTCCCTCACTCCCAAAAAATCCATCGTGATCGATTTTTTTTTATTTTAGTTTTTTCATATTTTGTATACATACATAATGTATCTTAATGTAGTAAGTAAATAAGATGATGATGATTGATTGTTTCATAAATTGATTATGTATAAAAAAGATCGTGTCGGTAGCTATTGTGATGATAAAGCCCCTCCCTGCTTCCCCCCACCGACACTCTCTTCCAGATTTCAGGTGGCGGGAAAAGCTCCCTTTCCCTCATTTATATATATATATATATATTTTTTTTGCTTTACATATTTTATTTATAATTTATATATATGTATCACGTGTACATTACATTCCACACACCCCATCCATGTGGAGTGGTGCTGGCACCTGACAATCGCAAACCTCGCCAGTGCAATACTTAAAAATAAATTAAAGAAAAACATAAAAACAATTATGTAAATATTGTTTTTTTAAACAAATGAAGAACACAAAGAAACAAACGATAAACACTCCCTCCTTAATTTATTTGCTATTTGAATATGAATTAAGTACTTTGTAGCGTTAAGTGAATATAATATAGAAATATTAAAATGAAGAGAGAATAAAAAATTATTAAAAAAAAATAGTTTTTTTATTTTGTTTTAATTTTTTTTTAATTTCATACAGAGACACAAAAAACATACAAACGAATGGCTGTAACTTGTTGATCGTGCCTGCGAGTAAAGAAATCGTAATAGGTGTCGGCGCTCCACTTTGTAAATATTATAAATAATAATTATTATTATTATATTGTGCATTATATGCAATTTTGTTTTCAATCATCACGCAATAGACCGTCACACATGTACTGATAAAAATAATAATAATTAAAAGATGAATTTTTAAAAGAAAAAAGTAATAAACGTGATCTCTCTGAAAATTAACTAGATTATAATTATTACTATTAATCTTGTTATTAGGTATTCAAAATCTTAAATTTGGCATGTATATTAAGTCAAATATGCTATGGTTGTAGCATATTTAACTTTATCATGTTAAACTCAAGATTGTGAATCCCATTATATTATTATTATCTATTATTTTTAATTATTTAATTTTTTGTACAATATAATTTTTGAAATCTATTTAATTTTCAACTCTTCAATAACATTTTCTTGTTAAGTGTAAGCCCGACAGATTTTTAATTTTTTTAAGTATATCATAAACATACTAAAGTATATCATTTACATCTTATGATTAGATCGAAAAAAAAACTGTTTATATGAAATAATCTCCTTTTACTTTTCTTTTTTAATTTATATCGATTTGTGAGATGTTCTAATTGTTTTTTTGAAATATACAGAGAACAAAATATAGTTTGGTGGTTGTTTAATTTTTCAAATTTAATCAGTTCATTCTTATCATTATTTAAAATAAAGCGATGGAATTTATTTAAATCAGGTATAAAAAAAAGTATTGAATTTTGTTTTCAAAAGTATAGTTTTATTAAAAAGATAAAAGAAAGATTACAGAGACGCCTGCAATTGCAGTGCGTCATGCGATCAACCCAATTTTCAAGTACTTTTTCGATTATTTGTGTTTGAATTTCATAAAAGTTTGTAGATTACCGAGTCTGGTCAGCGCGAAACGTTGCAATTACAACATTACATGACAGTTTCCATACTATGTTAGCATAAAGAATATACAGGCTGTTCATTTCAAAACTTTCCACCTCAATTTCTGTAAATCCGGAAGTTTAAAAAGAAAATCGCTGAAATAGGTAAAGAATAAAACCAAGGGGGACCACTTTTTATGCAAAAATTGACTCACTCACTTCAACCCCCCGCCGCCAGAAACCAACCCCTTAAAAATCTTAAATGGAAAGGGGTGTCAAGTGATACCTCATTTTAAAGGTCTNTTTAACTTTAGCTAGAGTTTTAGCAGTTAGCGATGTTTAGCGATGGTCTAAAATATATATAATTTTAAAGACTATTTATTTCTTTAAAACATGTAAAAAAAATTAGCTGCCAACATTTGCCTATTTAGAAGTTATGACCAGAAAACAAGAGGTCCACGTCACGCACGGAAGTGTTACTTTTGTTTACTGACGACGTACATAGCTTAAATGCAATATGGCTTTTCTTAGGTTAAGTAGCTTAAACTTGGCATACAGAATAATAATATAACGAGAATATAGTCAATTTTCGGAAAATCGGAAGAAGCAATGCTATACAGTANACCCCTTAAAAATCTTAAATGGAAAGGGGTGTCAAGTGATACCTCATTTTAAAGGTCTTTTAAGGTACTACATGTTAGTATTTATTTTTTTTAAATTGATCGAAATTTTTCTCTTTCTATAAACGAGTTATAGAATTCTCACAGTGCGAGAAAAGAATAAAATAAAAGTGCAATTTGGTTATTACTTAAACAACTTTGTGTTATCCACTTAACAAAGTTATTTAAATAAAGCAGCAATAATGGTTTACAGTTTGCAGGAAAGGATTGAAATTGTATTAATTGTATTGACGGCGCTCGACCCAAGGAGTTGCGTGATGACCCCACTGTTAAATATTTCTTTAATCGTGTAGATTACGAGGCGTTTAACAACGTCCTTCTAGATCTTAATTGGTCTGATCGACTGGTGGGTCGTAGTGTAAATGATGCGGTTAGCGTATTTTATAGTACCATTTACGACCTTATTGATGCTCACGTTCCGCATCGGCAGCTACCTAAACGCAGATTTCCCATCTGGTACTCTGCNCTATACAGTATGTCCACAAAAGTTATATCCTTAGTACATTTTTATTTAAATATAAAGCCCCAATCATTTTTAATTATTAAAAAAATAGTCTTATTTTAAAATTATTTTTATAAAAATTTGTTTCTAAGTATGCTTTTCCAGTTATTCAGCACAATATGTAATCAGTTTTCGGTTACATATTGTTGCCCGTTAATTTAGTTGGCGTGGATAAATCTTCAACGGCCAATGGCGCACTTATTTTTTTTTGTTTAAAATCTAGTATGTGTGTAATTTTTAGTTGTCATTGTCATAATATACCCTAAAGTAACGTCCGATTTTTGTCTTAAGTTTTCCTCCGCCTTATCGTTTGTCATTGTTAAGTACTGTTCTTTTCAGAACATTATTTAAAATTATTAATTCATAAGGTAAGTGCTCTAATATCCGTAAATATTTCTATTTATAGTAATATAGTACTTTTTATGNTGGCGACGTATCCCAGTATCGCCCTATTTCATGTTTGTCTTTACCTTCAAAAATTTTTGAAAAAATAATTTACCCTAAATTATTATATATTCTGAAGCCCTTCATGATCGTTGAGCAGCATGGCTTCCTGCCTGGTAGATCGGTCGAGACCAATTTAATAACCTGTACCAATTTTATTCATCGTGCTTTCGACCGATCTTGCCAAGTGGACGCCAGCTATACCGATTTTAGTAAGGCCTTCGATAAAATCGATCACAACATCATAATAAGAAAGCTGTCACTGCTTGACATTCCTCCGGGTCTTTTAGCGTGGTTGGGTTCCTTCGTCAGTGACCGTTACCAGGCGATTCGAATCGGCAATTGTGTGTCTGCTTATCAACGGGTCACTTCTGGGGTTCCCCAGCGTAGCCACCTCGGTCCCATTCTTTTCTTGGCATACATTAATGATGTTCTGGCATGTTTTGAACATTCTAAATTTCTGCTTTATGCTGACGATTGCAAATTTTTTTTGGATTTATCATCTAACTCCGACTGTATTAAACTTCAGGCAGATCTGGACCGGTTCCACAAATATTGCGCTGATAACAACCTCTTCCTAAACTACGATAAATGTTATAAAATTACTTTCACTCGCAATCGCTACCCTCTGAATTTTCCCTACAGGCTGGGTGGTGCGGACATTCAATCGGTTGATCGTATTAGCGATCTGGGGGTTACTCTTGATAACAAATTATCGTTTAATTTACATGTGGAATCCGTTATTTCCAAAGCTCTGAAGAGGTTGGGCTTCGTGATTCGAACCTGCCGCCCTTTCACAAATATTAATTGCATCAGATTGCTGTATTTAACGCACGTGAACAGCTAAGTAGCTATGCCTCCACCGTCTGGAATCCCCAGTACCACGTTTACATTAACGGTATCGAAGCAGTTCAACGTCGCTTTTTGCGGTACCTATGTTATAAAACAAATTTACCTATTGCGATTACTTTATGCGGTGCAGAGTGCTGGGTTTTCAGACACTGCAACGGAGGAGGCTGTGTTACGATTTACTGTTTATTTTTAAACTTTGCAATGGCTTCATTAATTCGCCTGAATTGGTTGGTGGGTTACGTTTTTACGTTCCTCCCTACCGGACTAGGGGTGGTCTGATGTTTAGACTTGATCGTTCGAATACAAATGCCTACTTCAATTCACCTCTTCAGAGATTAATGCATTTATTTGACTCTCACTGTGGAAATATTGATATGTTCAACACCTCACTGGCTGCGTTTAAGCGGTTTTTGCGTGGCGTGGGCGTTAATATCTCAGGTCATTAGAATTTAATTTTTCTTGTTAGTACTACATTTTTTTTCTTGGTTTGTTTTATTTTGTTTTTTTTTCTTCTCAAATCATTAATTTACAATTAAGTCCGACAATCCGTCATTAATTTGTATAGTGGACGCTTCGCTGGGGGTTAACCCTGTTTGCGTCCCATTTAAATAAATAAATAAATAAAATAAATAAATGTATGGATCCCAAAATGAATGTGTTCGACGAACTGTCGCAGTTTTTAATGAAAGGCATCCAGATCATGAAGAAATCATGATCAGAAAGCGTCAGGTATCTCGTGCAACTGATATATCCTTGGGTTCTGTTCATAAAGTTGTAAAACGTGACAAATTCCATCCTTATAAATTGAAAATACATCAAGAGCTAACTGAAGACGATTTTGACAGGAGAAGTGACCACTATTATTAATAATAACAAGGTTTTTGTGAAAAATATCTGCTTTAGTGATGAATGCACTTTTTCTTTAAATGGATTTGTAAATAAACATAACTGCAGATATTCTCATCTGACTGTAGAAGGGCATACACAATATCCTGAAAAAGTTAATGTATGGGCCGGCATTTTGGGAGATCAAGTGTTTATCGATGGAAATTTAAACGGCGAAGTGTACTTGGATATGTTAGAAAATACTATCAATCCACTAATTACGGAAGCTCTCGAGAATCAGTTGGATAGAGAAGAAAATGCCTTACTTGATGAGAATGAATTACATTTTCAACAAGACGGAGCTCCTCCTCACTATGTTCTCCCAGTACGACAGTGGTTAGATAATACGTTTCCAAACANATTAATAATAAAAGATTACTTATTCTTGCTTTTAAGAAGGTGATTAAAGTTTTTAATATTAATTAAAGCGGGAAATACAAAACAAAGATTTTCGCAAAAATTTCGAAAACGAATCGATCAATTTAAAAAAAATAAATACTAACATGTAGTACCTTAAAAGACCTTTAAAATGAGGTATCACTTGATATCCCTTTCCATTTAAGATTTTTAAGGGGTTGGTTTCTGGCGGCGGGGGGTTGAAGTGAGTGAGTCAATTTTTGCATAAAAAGTTGTCCCCCTTGGTTTTATTCTTTACCTATTTCAGCGATTTTCTTTTTAATATTCCGGATTTACAGAAATTGAGGTGGAAAGTTTTGAAATGAACACCCTGTACATGGTGTTGTATAATATATACATAATTTTAATCACAAATATTAGAGTTAAAATGACCATTCCTGTACAATTTTTGGGTCTAAACTAATGGTGGAATAGATATTCGGCAACTATCCCGCTTTGGCCGAATATTAAAAACCTATTACTTAGTATTCCACCATTCACAGAAATTAGTATCTCTTTTATGTGTTGGACACT